TTCGCCGGGGGATTGCAAAGACCGTCACGGCACTCGGGCGCCGATTCTCTCGGGGAAGGGCCCGACCGCGCCGCACTCCCGGGAGCGCCGAGGCTGTCCCGCTTCGTGTCCTATTCGGTTCACTGCGCTCAGCCACGGTCTCGTCCTCCCGGCGGCAGCCTCGGAGCTCCCCTGGGCTTCCTGAGGCCGCATTGTGCGCCGGCGGGTAAACGCAGTCCCGCGTGGATTCCCCCCTCGGCTGCCCCGAGGGCATGTGGAAGGCAGGCATCACCGCATATTCACTGTCCACCTGAGCTGCCCTCCTTTTGGAATTTTGTTCAGGAAATTGGAAAAACAATAAGAGATCACGCTTACAATTCCGTCACTTCTTCAACCTGCTTCGACAGCACTCAACACCATTACACCCAACAGTTGTCACTGGGCACGTTTGAGGGCCCACGACGGGGTTGGAAGTCCTCCAGGCAACTTTGGGATTACCTTAAATGTCTGTAATTTATAAGCCTGCTAAGGGTTACAGATATATTTACATAAGATTAGTTATCGAGGCTTGCCAGCACTGTTCTAGGTGCTTCACAAATATAACCTTATTTTCCGCTGACTATTCTGTGAGGTAGGTATTTTTTTTTTCTTCTTTTTAGAGGCGAGAACTGACGCTCAGGTTAATTCAGTTGCTCTAGGCCACATAGCTAGTAAGTAGTGGATCCAAATGGGAACCCAGGCTCTAACGGTTAGAGTCTAACGGTACCTGTCTTTAGAAAAAGGATGTAAAAATGGGTAGGGAATTCCCTTCATAAAAATGTGACTTTGGACTTCTCTATTTAAGAAACACCTTCTCTGCGAATAGGACAGAGTCCTATGATGAGAAGAGCATGCTTAAAAAAAAAGTTTCCATTGATTTCAGAAAGAGGAAGGGAGAAGGGGAGAGAGATAGGAAACATCAATGAAGAGAATCATTGATCTTGATCGGCTGCCTGCTGCCCGCCCCCTACTGGGGCTCAGCCCGAAACTCATGCCCTGTGTCCTGACTGGGAATCGAAGGGTGACCTCTTGGTCCAACCACTAAGCCACACCTGCCGGGCAAGAGCATGATTTCTAGTATCCTGTCTTGTGCCAGCACATTCTGAACTTGAACTCTTTCTGGATATGCCAGTTTATTAGTAAAATATTAAGTATAAATTACTATTCTAAAGTACAATGCCTTGATATTTTGCTTTCCTGACAAATCATATTTTATTTGTAACTACCTCATAGAGAAATATATAGGGTAGTGGTGAACACTTTAGCCAGTCACAAAGGAAACAACACATTCGAAGAACTAGTACCAAGACATCGGGAGGTGCCGAAACTGGTTTGGCTCAGTGGATAGAGCGTCGGCCTGCGGACTGAAAGGTCCCAGGTTCGATTCCAGTCAAGGGCATGTACCTGGGTTGCGGGCACATCCCCAGTAGGAGATGTGCAGGAGGCAGCTGATCGATGTTTCTCCCTAATCGATGTTTCTAACTCTCTCTCTCCCTTCTTCTCTGTAAAAAACCAATAAAAAATATATTTTAAAAAAAAAGACATCGGGAGGTGGGTGACTTCGTGCCCAGGGTTCCCAGCTGTGTTTGTACACATGAGACTTGAAAACAGGAACAAGAGGAGGTTGCAGCTTTCCTTTCGGGTGGACCCCGGAAACTGCAAGCCGCTTTGAACCCTGCCTTTTAGTTCACTAAATCCTGTGTTCCAAACCCTAAATCTTGGACATGTTACCTTCTCAAGCGGCTGCTTTCTTGCTTGCTACCTGCGACCAGTGGCCTACTCCCCAATTTCATCAAGCTTTTCAGATTTTTGAAACAGGAATTCAAGATACTAAAACTTTGTTGATGGTGTTTTGGATTGGGGCTTTCCACAAGTGGTGATACTGAAAAAAATCATCCGTAGGAAACTACCTTAAACAGACCCTAGCTGGATCTCAGCTCCACAGTTCGTAAATATGGTGAGGTGTGTTAAAGACCAGAAGTTCAACCCCGGTAAATTTGAAGATCTAATTGGCTTTATTAAATGATTCATGAATTGGCAACTCATCTAGTAAATAGAAGGGAGCCCCAAGTAGTTGTACAAAACAGAAGGTTTTTATAGGCAGGAGGGTGGGTCAACGAGGTTAAAAGAATGGGTCGTTTCAGACTAGGTCACCTTCCTTTGCCAGAAGGCAGAGGGATCTTTTCAGGCAGTTTACCTCACCAGAAGAGCAACATCCACCATAATGTGTCTCCGTGCCCATGGCCAGGGGATACTAATAACTTTATCTGGCCCAGTTTCCTATAAGAATCTTGCACTTTGTGCTACTCAGCGCAGGTCTCTTATTTACGAGGTGGGATGCTGCACAATTCATGAATCACTAATAAAGCCAATTAGATCTTTAAACTTATTTGGTTGAATTTTTTTTTAACAGATTCTTTTCCTGCCCTGCCACTTACAAAGGCTCTGTGACCTTGGGAAAGTTTGGCTTCTCAGTTCTTCAGCTACGTGATTTTTTTTAAGTACAGATGGTTGTAAAATCAATCAAATTGCTGATTGATTTAAAATTCCACTCGTGGGAGAGAATGAAACTGCATATTGAGTCTTGGTGAAGCTTACCACAGTGATTACATTTTGGGTCTATTTCTTTTTAACAGGTGCTTCTGGCTTCTGTTAAGCTGGCTGCCTCTTCTGTCTCTCCGCAGAAGACAGTGAATGGAGAATTCTCCCTAAGGTCAGCGTTTCATTAATTGCCTCGCTCTGGCTGTTACAGTATCCCAGGCATCGATCCAATCCTACTATCAAAATTGCCCGGAGATGGCCAGCAGGTCGGACCTCGGTCTTCCAGGGACTGCCACGAGTCACTGAGTGGAGTGGGACGCGCCTTGAGCAGTTTACTATCTCCGTGGGCGGTGGCCCAAGGCGCGGGACCTATCCGATGACCGGATTGGGCCTTGCCCCTGTCCATCATCCGACGGCTCTGGGCGCCGACTGTTTTGCCGTAAGATTTGGAAGTTGAGCACCGCCTCTGGAAACGAGAGGCGTGAAGATTGGCGAAGGTAAACGTTGTGTGTATTTTTCTCCTCATTGGATGGCTACTGTGTCAGTCATACTCTCCGCTGCTCCCGTTGGCGGGAAGGCTCCGGGCTGGTAGCGTGGACACAAGTGCAGCCCCGCCCAAGTTGCGATCCGGGCGCGTGACGTCTCAGATATTTGTTGTTGGGGTTTGGGCCTCATTAATTATTCATTAAGCCCTTGAAAGGGCTGCAGCGATTGGTGGCTGGGAAGCCTGGTCGATTGTTTCTTAGCTAGAGATAGGTGTCGCCCTCTACGCGGCCGAAAAAGTTTCGCATAAATTATTCCGATGAGGTGTGGGGCGGGACTACGCATAGATTAGGCAAATGAGCAGGGGAGGGACGCGAGGCCGGGTACGAATTAGCCTAAGTTATTAAAGATGGCGGCGGAGCGGAGTCGCTCTCCGATGGACTCGCCGGTCCCGGCCTCTATGTTCGCCCCGGAGCCCAGCTCCC